AAAATTAAGTATCCCCAATCTTCTCAAAACTCTGGATTCTGATAGAGGGCCATGAGACTTAGACCTGAGTGCAACAATGGAGGCTCTAGACCCTTCCAGAGCTGAGATATCGAAACTCAAAATTTCGACCCGAAAAAAAAACGACAGTGTTACCCCTTACGTTTTTTTTTTTGGGCGAAAAATTAAGTATCCCCAATCTTCTCAAAACTCTGGATTCTGATAGAGGGCCATGAGACTTAGACCTGAGTGCAAACAATGGAGGCTCTAGACCCTTCCAGAGCTGAGATATCGAAACTCAAAATTTCGACCCAAAAAAAAAAACGACAGTGTTACCCCTTACGTTTTTTTTTTTGGGCGAAAAATTAAGTATCCCCAATCTTCTCAAAACTCTGGATTCTGATAGAGGGCCATGAGACTTAGACCTGAGTGCAACAATGGAGGCTCTAGACCCTTCCAGAGCTGAGATATCGAAACTCAAAATTTCGACCCGAAAAAAAACGACAGTGTTACCCCTTACGTTTTTTTTTTTGGGCGAAAAATTAAGTATCCCCAATCTTCTCAAAACTCTGGATTCTGATAGAGGGCCATGAGACTTAGACCTGAGTGCAACAATGGAGGCTCTAGACCCTTCCAGAGCTGAGATATCGAAACTCAAAATTTCGACCAGAAAAAAAAACGACAGTGTTACCCCTTACGTTTTTTTTTTGGGGCGAAAAATTAAGTATCCCCAATCTTCTCAAAACTCTGGATTGTGATAGAGGGCCATGAGACATAGACCTGAGTGCAACAATGGAGGCTCTAGACCCTTCCAGTGCTGAGATATCGAAACTCAAAATTTCGACCCAAAAAAAAAAACGACAGTGTTACCCCTTACGTTTTTTTTTTTGGGCGAAAAATTAAGTATCCCCAATCTTCTCAAAACTCTGGATTCTGATAGAGGGCCATGAGACATAGACCTGAGTGCAACAATGGAGGCTCTAGACCCTTCCAGAGCTGAGATATCGAAACTCAAAATTTCGACCCGAAAAAAAAACGACAGTGTTACCCCTTACGTTTTTTTTTTGGGCGAAAAATTAAGTATCCCCAATCTTCTCAAAACTCTGGATTCTGATAGAGGGCCATGAGACTTAGACCTGAGTGCAACAATGGAGGCTCTAGACCCTTCCAGTGCTGAGATATCGAAACTCAAAATTTCGACCCAAAAAAAAACGACAGTGTTACCCCTTACGTTTTTTTTGGGGGGCAAAAATTAAGTATCCCCAATCTTCTCAAAACTCTGGATTCTGATAGAGGGCCATGAGACTTAGACCTGAGTGCAACAATGGAGGCTCTAGACCCTTCCAGTGCTGAGATATCGAAACTCAAAATTTCGACCCCAAAAAAAAAACGACAGTGTTACCCCTTACGTTTTTTTTTGGGGGCGAAAAATTAAGTATCCCCAATCTTCTCAAAACTCTGGATTCTGATAGAGGGCCATGAGACATAGACCTGAATGCAACAATGGAGGCTCTAGACCCTTCCAGTGCTGAGATATCGAAACTCAAAATTTCGACCCGAAAAAAAAACGACAGTGTTACCCCTTACGTTTTTTTTTTTGGGCGAAAAATTAAGTATCCCCAATCTTCTCAAAACTCTGGATTCTGATAGAGGGCCATGAGACTTAGACCTGAGTGCAACAATGGAGGCTCTAGACCCTTCCAGAGCTGAGATATCGAAACTCAAAATTTCGACCCGAAAAAAAAAACGACAGTGTTACCCCTTACGTTTTTTTTTTTTTGGGCGAAAAATTAAGTATCCCCAATCTTCTCAAAACTCTGGATTCTGATAGAGGGCCATGAGACTTAGACCTGAGTGCAACAATGGAGGCTCTAGACCCTTCCAGTGCTGAGATATCGAAACTCAAAATTTCGACCCAAAAAAAAAACGACAGTGTTACCCCTTACGTTTTTTTTTGGGGCAAAAAATTAAGTATCCCCAATCTTCTCAAAACTCTGGATTCTGATAGAGGGCCATGAGACTTAGACCTGAGTGCAACAATGGAGGCTCTAGACCCTTCCAGTGCTGAGATATCGAAACTCAAAATTTCGACCAGAAAAAAAAACGACAGTGTTACCCCTTACGTTTTTTTTTTTGGGGGGCGAAAAATTAAGTATCCCCAATCTTCTCAAAACTCTGGATTCTGATAGAGGGCCATGAGACTTAGACCTGAGTGCAACAATGGAGGCTCTAGACCCTTCCAGTGCTGAGATATCGAAACTCAAAATTTCGACCCAAAAAAAAAAAAACGACAGTGTTACCCCTTACGTTTTTTTTTTTGGGCGAAAAATTAAGTATCCCCAATCTTCTCAAAACTCTGGATTCTGATAGAGGGCCATGAGACTTGGACCTGAGTGCAAGAATGGAGGCTCTAGACCCTTCCAGAGCTGAGATATCGAAACTCAAAATTTCGACCCAAAAAAAAAAACGACAGTGTTACCCCTTACGTTTTTTTTTTGGGCGAAAAATTAAGTATCCCCAATCTTCTCAAAACTCTGGATTCTGATAGAGGGCCATGAGACTTAGACCTGAGTGCAACAATGGAGGCTCTAGACCCTTCCAGTGCTGAGATATCGAAACTCAAAAATTTCGACCCGAAAAAAAAAACGACAGTGTTACCCCTTACGTTTTTTTTTTGGGGCAAAAAATTAAGTATCCCCAATCTTCTCAAAACTCTGGATTCTGATAGAGGGCCATGAGACTTAGACCTGAGTGCAACAATGGAGGCTCTAGACCCTTCCAGTGCTGAGATATCGAAACTCAAAATTTCGACCCGAAAAAAAAAACGACAGTGTTACCCCTTACGTTTTTTTTTTTTGGGCGAAAAATTAAGTATCCCCAATCTTCTCAAAACTCTGGATTCTGATAGAGGGCCATGAGACTTAGACCTGAGTGCAACAATGGAGGCTCTAGACCCTTCCAGTGCTGAGATATCGAAACTCAAAATTTCGACCCGAAAAAAAAAACGACAGTGTTACCCCTTACGTTTTTTTTTTGGGCGAAAAATTAAGTATCCCCAATCTTCTCAAAACTCTGGATTCTGATAGAGGGCCATGAGACTTAGACCTGAGTGCAACAATGGAGGCTCTAGACCCTTCCAGTGCTGAGATATCGAAACTCAAAATTTCGACCCGAAAAAAAAAAACGACAGTGTTACCCCTTACGTTTTTTTTGGGGGCGAAAAATTAAGTATCCTCAATCTTCTCAAAACTCTGGATTCTGATAGAGGGCCATGAGACTTAGACCTGAGTGCAACAATGGAGGCTCTAGACCCTTCCAGTGCTGAGATATCGAAACTCAAAATTTCGACCCGAAAAAAAAAACGACAGTGTTACCCCTTACGTTTTTTTTTTGGGGCGAAAAATTAAGTATCCCCAATCTTCTCAAAACTCTGGATTCTGATAGAGGGCCATGAGACATAGACCTGAGTGCAACAATGGAGGCTCTAGACCCTTCCAGTGCTGAGATATCGAAACTCAAAATTTCGACCCGAAAAAAAAAAACGACAGTGTTACCCCTTACGTTTTTTTTTTTGGGTGAAAAATTAAGTATCCCCAATCTTCTCAAAACTCTGGATTCTGATAGAGGGCCATGAGACTTAGACCTGAGTGCAACAATGGAGGCTCTAGACCCTTCCAGTGCTGAGATATCGAAACTCAAAATTTCGACCCGAAAAAAAAAACGACAGTGTTACCCCTTACGTTTTTTTTTTTGGGCGAAAAATTAAGTATCCCCAATCTTCTCAAAACTCTGGATTCTGATAGAGGGCCATGAGACTTAGACCTAAGTGCAACAATGGAGGCTCTAGACCCTTCCAGTGCTGAGATATCGAAACTCAAAATTTCGACCAAAAAAAAACGACAGTGTTACCCCTTACGTTTTTTTTGGGGGGCAAAAAATTAAGTATCCCCAATCTTCTCAAAACTCTGGATTGTGATAGAGGGCCATGAGACATAGACGTGAATGCAACAATGGAGGCTCTAGACCCTTCCAGTGCTGAGATATCGAAACTCAAAATTTCGACCCAAAAAAAAAAAAAACGACAGTGTTACCCCTTACGGTTTTTTTTTTGGGCGAAAAATTAAGTATCCCCAATCTTCTCAAAACTCTGGATTCTGATAGAGGGCCATGAGACATAGACCTGAGTGCAACAATGGAGGCTCTAGACCCTTCCAGAGCTGAGATATCGAAACTCAAAATTTCGACCCGAAAAAAAAACGACAGTGTTACCCCTTACGTTTTTTTTTTGGGTGAAAAATTAAGTATCCCCATATCCTATATCTAATACATTTGTAAGCACTATACATATGTAGGGAATCTGTTTTTGAGGCAAATCAGCTGTTCACAATCTGAATATCCACTGAATCCTCACATCATACAAATCAAAACCAACACCTCATAAAATAGTTGTTTCTCAAGACCAGGTTGATCACTCATCACATCCAATAGTAGCCTGACCTTTATTTATATCTTTTGTGTGACTAGGTGGTCCTTAAAGCAACACTAAGTAAGATTTTTTTTTACCTTAAAATAATGTTTCCTAAATGAAAGGCACTTCTGGATCCTATATCTTTTATAACCACGCTATGTAAGATTGCCAGATCGGGTCGCGTTTCTGTAGTTCTAATGAGACTGAAGAAAACTACAAATTTGACTTGCTTTACGTCAAGCGTTACAACAGTCATTATTTAGTTTTTCTTCGTTTCTGATGTCGCATACATCACACTTTCATGAAATCATGCAACATACTCCAATACTCACATACTCCCGGATAAACAGCTAGCGTGCGCTAGGCTAAATTAATTACGACAGCGTTAATGGACAATTCCGCTTCCAACCTGTAGGGCGGCCGCAGAGGAAAAGTTACTTGGTGTTGCTTTAAAGTCGTGATATTCAGACATGGTTCTTGCCATTTGTAAATGACTGTGATCATGCCTTATATGAACGATGCACATCCTCTCCAGTGTCCACAGACTGCGATTCCTGTAAGATACTAGCGGCTCTCTCCCGGTTTCATCTGGGTCACAACGCGACGGAGATCCAGACCTCTGACCTGCTCCAGAAGATCTGCCACCTTCACCCTAATGCTATTCCTCAAGTAATAAACACACACACACATACATCATAACAATCCTTTGACAAAATCTGTGTAAAGTAGTGACGTACACACTCAAAGACTACCTGTACAAGGGCGACACATTACAGAAAAAGCAATTGACTCTTTGGATTGCTTCTCCTTGTTCTAGTGTGAAGGGTTTGTGAAGCTTCATGGCCACCGGCTCCTGAAGAGTGACGGGAAAAAGCCATTCATCAGCGAGTGTCAGGTAAGAACCGTTCAAGTTTTACAATACTTAATTGTTGAACGGACTGGAGAAACTCTGACGTCTTTTTATGTGTGTGTGTGTGTGTTTCGTCAACAGGAAGATTACCTTTGCACGGGACACAAGTGAAAGTGATCAATCGAATAAGATTCCAGCTTTCTTTTGAACACTCGACCAAGCTTTTTGAATCCACTTCCTTTACACACAAAATCAAACGAGATTTGAGACATACATAAATTTGAGTTCAGGCATTGACTGTTAAATCTGCTTCAAATTACCATTATTTTTTTTTTAAATGTAACCTTTCTTAATTTCTAGTTAGTTAAAATAATCATTTATGTGTTGTATCTGTAGTTCCATAATGCAAACCACACTGGGTAGACATGTAATTACAAACTAGTGAACTTAGCCAATAAAGTGTGTAACATTACATGAAGCCTTTGCATCCTCATTTTTGTGTTGAGAAGACGCAAGAAATAAACTCATTTGTATTTCAAGGCATTGTAAGCAGTTACTGCAGTGGAAAGCGCTTAAAAACAGTCAACTTTAGGCAATTTAAAATAACTTTTAAAGGGATATTCCACTTTTTTTGGAAATAGGCTCATTTTACAACTCCCCCAGATTTAAACAGTTGAGTTTTACCGTTTTCAAATCCATGCAGCCGATTTTCTGACATTTAGAAGAATATCAGTAACCAGACAGTTTCTGGTCTCATTGACTACCATAGTTGGAACAAAATATATACTATGGGAGTCAATGAGACCAGAAACTGTCTGGTTACTGATATTCTTCTAAATATCAGAAAATTGGCTGTAAAACTCAACTTTTTAACTCTGGGGGAGTTGTAAAATGAGCCTATCTCCAAAAAAAAAAGTGAAGTATCCCTTTAGCAGTGACAATTCAAAACTAGGCCTTGTACAATCACCTTTACAAACATTTCAAATCTGTCTAAAAACTGCCTTTAGATTTGCATTGTTGTTTGTGGTAATGCTGTATCAGAACACTACGTATCCTATTTTATTTTCGTATCCCATCCTATTAATTTCACCAACAAACCCATTATTGAGCAACTTTTAAAACAAAAGCAATCAAGTGTGAGGGTTTTGGGCTAGCTGCTTATTCACAACACTTGTTTTCTAAAGAGCCAAATGAAACGCAGTCTATAGTCTTGAAAACTTTAATAAAAGGTCTCATACTACAAACTTTATTAGCAAAGGAAGTCACAATAAAACTGAAAAAAATTACAATAGGAACAGAAATGTGTTGCGTTCACCTTACAGATTTCTTAGCATCATTATATGAAATGAAACCTCGGGATTTAAAGGGATAGTTCAAAAATAAAAATACTCATCCATCATGTAAAAGACCTTCTTTTATGTGGGAAAATCCATCTCTGTTAGTCTTTGTAACACCACTGAATGGCTGAAGCTGGTTTGACGCTTGAAAAACCACAGTGGATGAATCGATGTCTTCTAGGAAAATACCAACAGATTTAACTTTAATTATAAATCAATGCTGTTTTGTCCCTCTCAAGAACGCTTGTATGACAGTAGACTGGATGCATTGATTTATAATTAAAACTAAATCTATTAGTATCTTTCTTATACTCCTATTGTTTGGCTTCAGAAGACTTTGACTCATCCACTGGGGTCGTACGGGTCACTGTGTGGTTTTTCAGTCATTCAATGGTGTCATATAGACTAACCTAGACGGATTATTCTCCTAAATATGTGTTTATCTGAAGGAAGAAACTCATATACATGTGTAAATGTGATTTTTGAGTGAACTATCCCTTTCAGGTGAACGTCTTCTCTCGTCGTCTCATCTCGTCATTCTTGAAGGCAAGGTTTCATTCGGGCCTGAACAGGAACGAAGCATTTCATTTACAACTCCTAGCATCCTAAGCCCCTTTATGGCTTCCTGCTCCATCCTCTTTATCTTGTCTTTTCCAAATCTGCAAAAGCAGAAATATGTGAAATAAGGTTGGGTGGGGATGTCTCAAAAACACTTAGAATGATTTAGAATAGAGATCTGCAAGACATATACATATTTAGCATTTTTAATCGCAATGACCACAGTGTCCATCATCTTATATAATGCTTATATTAGATTAGATTAGGCTAATATTGTTAACCCTCTGGGGTTGTTCGGCCCAAATGGACCCGAAGAAATTATTTTTTTTTTTTTTAAATCACAGCTTCCTCGGAATGGTCCGAAATTTGGTGACTTTGTTGGTATTTGGTATTTGAACACCCAAAAAAATTGGGGACAGGATGTGAATAGTCTGAGCGGTTGTAAAAAAATAGTCACACTTGGGGTGTTCGGGTCCAAATGGACCCGCATGGAAAATGAATGGGAAATTGGAAAAAATGTGAAAATACTGAGGTTTTTTTGTGCGTACAATCTACAAATCAGCCACGATCTTGAAAAAAAGCGCACAACAGTGAAGGGGTGAATCTATAAAACATCAAGAGTGCAAAACAGACACACACACACAAACACACTTTTATACACAAACACACCAAAAAATTCAGATTATACATGTGTTTTGCATTTTTAAAATGCTCAGTTTGTCCACCAGATGGCGTCCATCTCATTTCAAAAATTGCTTTTATGAGTCCTAGGCTTGACTCTAAAATGAAATACAGCTATTTTTTTTATTTTTTCTATTATGTTGAATGGGGGGAAATTTTGTCATAATTATTGCATTAATACTAATTATAATTTTTTTTTATTTTTGAAATTCTCAAAACACCAAAAAAAGAAAGAAAAAAATATTACAAAAAACGAGTAAAAAAAAAAAAATCATGATTTTTTTTTTTTTTTTTTTAAATACGAATCCCGCCTTTTGGGTCCATTTGGATCCGAACACCCCGGGTGTGACTCTGAAACGAACAACCCCAGAGGGTTAAACAGATTTAATAATAATAGAAATCCACAAAAGTACTTGAACACTTCCTCAAACATATATGAAAAGAGAAACTGTGCATTCTTCATTAGCGACTTTTGCAGTTCCAGGAACTCAGATTTAGGAACTACTCATAAAGCTGGGGTTCCCGAGAACTAATAATGTGACTTATTTTGACGGCGCTGAGAACGACAGAGCTAGTAAATATATAGGTTATAACCTGTGTTGAAAAGAAATTAAGCATTTAGATGAAAACATTCCAGGATTTTTCTCCATCTTCAATGGGCACCAAACGCGATTCATCGTCTGGTGTCGTTTAAAGCTGCACTGAAACTCTCGTTTGGTCCCCATTAAAGTCCATTATATGGAGAAAATCCTGGAATGTTTTCATCAAAACCTTAATTTCTTTTCGACAGAAGAAAGAAAGACGTGGACATCTTGGATGACATGGGGGTGAGTAAATTATCAGCAAATGTTTTTTTAAAAGTGAACTACTCCTTTAAATGAAGTGTAACCCAGTTTTCATGTAATATCCACTTGATAAAACCTCATTCTCGGCCATGTTTTTATCTCCATCAATTTGCGAATGAGAAAAGAAAGTAATAAGCAGCAAACCTGTATGTACGCCTCAGAGAGTGTGATCATCTGTGGAAGGATGTCAATCACCTGCAGGTCCTGAAGCTCGTACCACTTCCCCGTGCCCTGTCGAACGTGAGAAAGCAGACATGTTACACAAAACATCCCAATAACAAAGCTGCTGTTGTTTTAAGTGGAATAAAGTGTTGGTGACACACTCACGTGATGCAGAACATGAATCCTATAGGAACCCTCAGTGGGTTTCCCATCATGAACCACATTGGCCACCAGGTCATAGGTCGTGAACTTCTCGGTAGCCTGCGCCTCTTCAGTGAGGTACTCGCGCAAATCAACGTTCCTGTGTGTTTGCACAAGAATATTACAAAATACATTTACAGAGAATATAGAAAAGTGTGAACTAAATGTATCCTGAGCAACGGTGGACACATACGTGATGGGGAAGTTGACGATGGTTGGGTTCTTCTCAATAAAGAAGTTGTTCTTTGTGAATCGTTTGATGCAGAAGATGAGGTATGGAGGAAGTTTGGTGAGCTGGAACTTTTTCAGAAAGTTCTCTTTGTAGGTCTTGTACTCCTGTGACAGAAAAGTCAAAAGTTCATTGTGTATACTAAGTATTCAAAAGTCCTATTTAACAGATTGCAGGACTAGTGCTTGAACATTTGTGCATAAAAATATAAATTAACATTTAAAATCTTATTTAATAAATAACATTATACAATAACGTTTCATTAGTAAACATGAACTACTAAGAATGAACAATAAATCTACAGCATTAACTCATCTTAGTTCATCATGTTTATTTTAACATTTACTAATACATTATTATTAAAATCAAATGTTGTATTTGCTAACATTAGTTAATGCACTGGGAAATAAAATAAGCAAACAATAAACAACTGAACGTTAAAAATGTAACAAATGTATTGCTCATTATTAGTTCATGGCATGCTAGTTAATAATAGATTGCAATAAAGTCTCATTTATTAACATTAGTTAACCAGAAAAAAAGAATAAAGCTACATACCAAATAAAAAAAATAAAGCCATGTATACTGTATAATTTAAAAAAAAATTGTTTTTAAATGCACATAAAAATGCAAAGCCGGTCTGAAGAGCTGATTAGGTGATTTAGGTTTGTTTGTTTTCCCATGAAAAAAAATCATTAAAAACATTAAAAAAAAAAAAGGCTCTTCTGGTGTTATTTTACCATTAATTATTATAGTGTTCAACAATGTTTTTATTTTTACTTAGATTTTTAGTATTTATATTAGCTTTTGTCATTTATATAAGTTTTTTTATATATATTTCTTTTTAGTTAGGATTTTTTAAATCAGTTTTTGTAATTCTAGCACTTCAACTTAAAATTGAAAAATGGGGAGAAAGGCAACATTTCGGTTTTTCATTCATTTCAACTTTAAGAAAAATTATTTTGCTAACACTTTACTTATAAAGCCTTTAAATATAAATGTATATTATAAATGTATAAAAAGGCATTTTTTTTTAGGGCTGGGCAACGATTAATCGTGAATAATCATATCCAAAATAAAGGTTTGTGTTTACATAATATATGTTTGTGTAGTGTGTATAATTATTTTGTGTATATATATATATATATATATGAAGAGTTGAAGAGAGACAAAAGCCTCTAAGTGCCATTTGAAATTTTCTTCTAAAATGATCATTTTTATCAAGCTTGTATATTTAAGTTCAGTAATTTCACTTAAATGGCAATGAAGATTACCTATTAATTGTCATTTAAGTGAAATTACTGAACTTAAATATACAAGCTTGATAAAAATGGTCATTTTAGAAGAAAATTTCAAATGGCATTTAGAGGCTTTTGCATCTGAACTCTTCATAAAAACACACACACACGCATGTATATATTTAAGAAATATTTGCATGTATATACTGTATATAGATTTATACGAAATGTAAATATTAACACTTTTTTCTTAAATATATACATGCATATGTGTGAATTCTTATATACAAAATAATTATACACACTACACACACATTTATAATGTAAACACAAACGTTTCTTTTGGATACGATTAGTTGCCCAGCACTACTTTTTTTTTATTATAAATTATTGTAACCAAAGTTAAAAAGCATAGCAATAATTGCACATTACTTGTCACATATGAAATTAATTGTTCGTTGTGTATTTCACTGCATTATACTTTCTTAAAGTGTAAAAATGAATAGATATATTTTATAATGTTTCCTAATGTATCATAACTGAGAATACAGCTATTCATGAGACCATACAATACATTATAAAGCATTTCTAATGCATTAAAAATAATGTATTATATATAAAAGCTTTGTGACAATAAACAATAAATAATAAAAGATCTGAGAAAAGTAAATCCAAACCTTCTCAGTATTTCCATTGAACTTGCCCAGGATGTTGAAGAGAGGAACCTGAGGAATGATGAGCTGCTCCTTCTCATCTTTGTAGAGCGGTGCGGTGGGCAGGTCAAGGGTCAGGTAGAGGAAGGTGGACTCCGACATCTTCTCCTGGTACTCCTCCTTAAGGAGAAGGGCTTCTTTCTCTTCAGGAGGCTGAGAAAACAAGGACAACAATTAACCATTTATCCAATCTGACATTGCAAATACAGCATTTTTCAGTCCTCTCTCTAAGGATGGGCTGGACATCAGCACAATGTTCACAACAATCCCATGAACACACTCTCACGCATCAGGAACTGATATAGAAAGGCACAAATCAGAAACCTACCAAGTCTGGATGGGGAAGTTTCTTTGAGAAGATTCGCATGGACCCCTGAAACACCTTGGCGAGTATGGCTGTAGACAGAAGAGAAAAATTATTTCACCCTGTACTTATGAAGATCACAACGAAGAAGCACAAACACACTCTTATTAAGGCAATCAGAAACACACAAAACAAAACTCACATGATTTCTTCTTTGTCCCACCAAGAGCACCATGCAATGCATTCAGGAACCATGAGAGAAAGTCAACAGCGTCCCCTAGAGGGCAAAGAACACAACACCGGTTTAAAACGAGCACGAGAATGACAGACTAGCGTTCTACCACACTAACTTTACATACAAAGACGGTGCACTCATATTACTTATATATAAATATTGAGGGCTTGGAGCCAGAGGGGTGTAAGTGGTATTTTGTGGCGAATATGAGTTCTTTAAATCAAAATAAAGGTCTCAATGAGCTCTATCCAATAGTGCCAAAAATACCTATCTGAGATCAAATTTTATTGAATAAAGCAACAAAAAGGCGTATCGGACGTATTTGACTTTTTGAAAATGTTTTAGAACATGTTCATTGTGTTAATATGCCATACATTTTTTACTTAACCCTTAGGTGGTCTTTGGTCATTTCTGACCGAAAAAATTTCTGTTTTGAATTTCTAAAAATCACAGCTTCGTCGTGATGTTATGAAACTTGGTGACTTATATGGCATTATGTATGTGAATACAAAAAAAATTGAGGTCATGATCCGAGCAGTCTAAGTGGTCGTAAAAAAAATAGTCACACTTGTGGTCTTTGGTCAAAAATGACTGACCCATAGGAAATGAATGGGAAATTGAAAAAAAAAAAAAAAAATCTCTGTATTTTTGGACGTGCAATCTACAACATCGGTCACAATTCTAAAAAAAAAAAAAAAAAAGAACACCGAAGGAAAGGGGCGACACTACAACATCTAGAGTGCAAAACAGACAAACCCACCCACACACACAAACACACTTTTATATACATACACACCAACAAATTTTGATCGCAAAAAGTATATTTTGAATTTTTAAAAATCACAGCTTCATCGCAATGTTAGGAAACTTGGTGACTTTTATCATGGCATTATGTATGTGAACACACAAAAAATTGAGGTCATTATCTGAGCATGCTAAGTGGTCTTTAAAAAAAAATAGTCACACTTGTGGTCTTTGGTCAAAAATGACCCCCATAGGAAATGAATGGGAAATTGTCAAAAACACAGAAATTCACAAATTATTATTATTATTATTTTTTTAAATTTTTTAATAAAAATCGTTTTTGAGATTGTTTCAACTGTATATTCAATTCCGCCACCAAAAAAAAATAAATAAATAAAAATAAAATAAAATGTGTTCATAAACAGCTGGGGAATTAACATGCCTCTCCATAGAGAGCTGTACATGCCATCTAGTGGTTACACCATGATTGTACGCTTTTTCTCTATACTGATGGTGCTCATTTTTTTCAAAAAAAAAAAAATTTTCTGAAGGCCTAGACTCTATATTAAACTAAAATACTACATTAATAATTTTTTGAAAAAAATAATATATATATATATATATAAAAAAATATATATATTTTTCCATGGCAAAAATAGACCATAAATATTGCATAAATATTAATACATTCAATCAAATTGTCTCAAAATACTAAATTACAAAGAATAAATATTATAGAAGAAAAATAAATTGCATTGGGTTTACTGGGATGGAGGAAATTTAATTTAAGTGTCCGGTCACTTTTGAGTGTGACTCCGAAACGAAGGGCACCTGAGGGTTAAATACTCATTTCATGTAAGTATGCCTGGGGTTGCAATGTCTGTGGTTTAAGGTGAATAATACAAGTGATTGAAGCGTGGTCAAAATTTTGTTTTGTCTCTCCTGTAAAGTTTGGTAAAAGCCACTTACGTCCTTCTGGCTCCAAGCACTCGATATATAAATGGGAGAAAGTGCAAAAATCCCTCAAAAATAACCATTTCTAACGCTATATGAGGATAAGAAACATTTAAAGGATACTTCATGTCAGATTTTGTTGCGGATTTAAAATGAAGACCACAAGTGTTTAGGGTGCTATTTGGGACAGGGCCGTAGATGCCACTACACCAGCTAGAACCTAAGATAGCAGCTTAAGAAAAACATTAACCTAGTGCACTGTATACAATACAGCGCTTGTTATTAACCCGCCAACTCACTAAATGCGGGTGAAATTTATATATTTTACATTTTTCAACTTTCAAGTCTTTTAAAAAAGCATCTGAAATAATGAACTAAGTACTAAAATATTGTTTTTTCGATATATAACGATACTGAAATATCTGAAACTCTTCCGCATAATACACAGTTTAAGCTGTCCATTATCACTCTCTCATCTCTCCGACAGCGAGTTACACATAAACCCGCCTCCCCTCACTCACTCGTTTCATTTGCTCTGGATGAATATTATTGGAGTTATAGGGCTTGAATTTCGCTGTGGGATTGTGCTAATATTTTATAATGTATATAATGTATTATAAACATGTAATGTATAATACATTATAATCTAATCTAATATTTTATAAACATATAATGTAATGTATAATATTTTGTGATAATGGATCCATGCATTAGGTCTTAAAGTGACAGCAGCCTAATAAACCGGCTGCCAAATTATGAGTTAATATTAAAAATATCTATATGGCTGTTTTTCCCCATGGAATCAATGTCAAAATTGTGGCCAGTGAAAATTGGCTAGTAATTGTAGAAAACACACGCCACAGTGACTGGTGAGCAAAAAAGTTAAGTCAAGTGCATTAGTATTCACAAGTGTGTGTTGTGATTTACCTTGCTTAGTGATCTGAAAGTTCTTTTTACTGCATAACACCACAGCCTGCAACATTTCATGCGGCGAAACGTGGGCTTTAAAGTTACGCGGGTTCCACAGCTTGCGCATGAGCTCCCCAAAACGCTGCACCAAAAGAAACATGATGTCGCCCGGCGGCCGGCGAATTCCACGGTAGTTTTCCTCCTCGAGGAAGTAGTTTCGCAGAGGGGGCACATTTGACAGCGCCTTAGGAAAAAACAAGCGGTGACATAGTGCACTCAAAAAAATATTTATAGGGATAGTTCACTTTTAATTTGAAATTAATTTAAACATTAACATAATAATTTAACCATAATTTAAACATTAATTTTAATTTGAAATTAATTTTTGATATGTTTTAGTTTGCCTCAAGGGCATCCAAGATGTACGCGTCTTTGTTTCCACAATAGTTTCAATTTTGATATTTTTAGGTCAAACCGTTCTTGTCTGTCAGTCATATAATGGAGGTCTATGGTCACCACCTCAAAGAGCATGCACAGAGAAGTCCAAATTAAACATGATTTAATGACTCGTAAATGGCCTAAGACACGAAACGAGTGGTTTGTGTGAGAAAACAAACAGTATTTATATCGTTTTTACCCCAGCCACAAAGCGCCCGCGCCCTCTGATCACTTGGACGTGACTGTGGTTACAAGAGGTAAAAACGATATAAATACTGTTCGTTTTCTCACACAAACCGCTCGTTTCGTGTCTTAGGCCATCAATGTGTACTTACATTTACGAGTCATTAAATCATGTTTAATCTGGACTTCTCTGTGCATGCTCTTTGAGGTGGTGACCATAGACCTCCATTATATGACTGACCTAAAAATATAAAAATTGAAACTACTGCGGAAACAAAGACACCTACATCTTGGATGCCCTTGAGATAAGATAAAACATACCAAAAATTAATTGCAAAGTGAACTATCCCTTTAAGCCTAAAGGTCCTTGAACACTGAAGTCCGATATTTTCATATTCGTCATTCGGTGGCTCTGAATTGTCAAAACACTTCTTAAAATGTTTGCTACGGATGTGAAAACTCTTTTTTATGACAGACAAAAGTTTCGGAGGCAGTGTGTTATTTTTAACGTGCGAAAATTTCAGACAAAAGTGTGCAAAGACCTTTACTTTAAGATTTATGTATTTGAATTGCATATAAAATGTCCATCCATTTGAACAACAGTTTTAATGAACTTATAAACTCAATGTGGTGCATATTTTACCTGCAATACCACATTAGCATAGTCATTGGCCTTGATATTATTGAGACCCACAATTCCTGGCAAATAAGTAGTGCCATCGTAGGCTCTGTACAGCTTTCCCTGCTTATCCAAACCAGAGATGTGCGGTTTGGTGAACGTGGGTTTCAGCACATACTGAAATAAAGAAATGAATCAGAGATTTAGAACAATCAGTACAAGACTAACATGACAATAATTTGAGACAAACTTTTTATTTTACTGTAATTACACTTTTCAAAAAGAGTGTAGAATCAAATCTCAATGTTATATTGATAACAGATTGAAGGAAACCCGTATCTCACTGTAATGTCCTCTAATGAGGAGTCAATGATCTCATAATTGTCTGGCAGGCAGTAGAACTTTAACGTGTGGAGATTCAGGAAAACGTGATGTGTGAACTGAACGCTGTGGATGTACGCATGAGACTTCTGACCTCGACCTGACGGGAACAAAATAAGCCAAAATATTAGCCTGAACAGTGTTCTTCAAATTTACATAGATCACATATTCACTTTTAGCTCATGCATGTATTTCCATTTAGAGAAACAGATAGTATGAAAGCTTGTTTTCGCCAGAGAATTATTTTCTTATCTGTTTCTTATCTTTATTTACAGAATAAAACTATAATGCCCCGTGTCACTGGGACTAAGCTGCATGTTTGAGCTCTTTTACTGAAAGTAACATGCACTGATGCATCTTAAAATGTCCGTGTCATTATTTTGTCTTAAACACCCGTAACGTTTTTTATTTTCCTGAGGCACATTTATAAAAGCTACTTAAAGGAGTAGTTCACTTTTAAAAAACTTTTGCTGATAATTTACTCACCCCCATGTCATCCAAGATGTCCATGTCTTTAATTAAAAAAGAAATTAAGGTTTTTGATGAAAACATTCCAGGATTTTTCTCCATATAATAGACTTCAATGGGGTCCAAACGGTTCAAGATCCAAATGAGAGTTTCAGTGCAAACTGTTCAAAGGGCTTTAAACGACACCAGACGATGAATAAGGGTCTTATCTAGGACTCTTCGAGTCATGACTCGAAAAAAGATTTGTTCTTTTTTTTTCAGGAAAGTCACGAACGTTCATCACAGAACAGAGCAAGGCGAGCATTTGAGCTTATAAAACTTTTTAATTTATTTTTTTAAATGAGTGATCGTTTCGCTAGATAAGACCCTTATTCATAGTCTGGAATCGTTTAAAGCCCTTTGAAGCTGCACTGAAACTCGCATTTGGACCTTGAACCGTTTGGTTCCCATTGAAGTCCATTATATGGAGAAAAATCCTGGATTCTTAATTTCTTTTCGACTGAAGAAAGAAAGACATCTTGGATGACATGGGAGTGAGTAAATTATCAGAAAAAGTTTTTTTTAAAAGCGATCTACTCATTTAAATGTCCTCATTGAACTAAGGGGCTAATCCTGATTCCTGGCTTAATCTAAGCACTGTCTGTTAAACTAGGCCTAGGGCTAAAGGTTATTGCGATTTTCTCACAATTCTGACTTTTTTTTCCCCTAGCAATTGCACAAGTTGATATCTAAATTATATTACATCATGCAATTATGATAAACATATTCAGAATTGCTGGTTAGAAACAGACAATTGCGAGGCAAAAGAGACAAACCTGTGAGCTAAAAAGTCACAATTCAATATTTTTCTATGCCATGTCAGAAATAAGATTCCATCAGCTTCCATTGGTCAACAAACATGAAAAATCTTACATTGTAAAAAAAAATACGGTTATCTGACGAACTTACCTTGGAAATATTTCCCACAGATTAAACAGGCATAGACGTTAATGTGTGAAAGAGAGATTGAGCAAAGCTTCTCGAAGTCGAAATCCAAAACACTCCTAAAAAACAAAAGAGCGAGTGTTATAGCAGAAGAGAATACAATAATAAACATTATATAACATGTGTCATATATATTAATGAACCTATTGATTGTGTCCAGATATGGACAATGGCGACTTCTGCGATCTTCAACATGACCACGACCGATTTTCACACGCACCTCTAAAAGTAAACAAGAAGAAACACATTAAAATCATGTTGATTACAGTTCCACGTTGATAATAAAACCCAAACATGATTCCTCAGACAGAGAAAAATACAATAACGTTACATGACATCAAAGCTAATATCATCGGTGTTCCTGTGCATTACACCTGTTTCACATGTGATAACATAAACATACGATCCCCTGAAGATATTTCGTTTGATTATTAGGTTTTTCGCATCATTATTAAACGACTAGTAGTTAAAGTATGTTAGCAGCTACGTTAAAAACACAGAGGCCTCCACATTTAAACCGACTTCAAGCAAATAAACGCTTCAGACACACCTTCATCTTCGTCTTCATCAACGTCCCTCTCCCGTTTCACGCCTGCGATCATTTTACGTTTAATAACAAATAAAATCAAGTCAACAAACTGTTGAATCAATGAACACTCGTCGCACGCATTCAGCGAGCGTTACAAAAATCCCGCTTCCACTTCCGCTCTAAAATGGGGTGGCCAAGAGCACATTAACTCGGGATCGATGCAAACAAAAAACACGCGACGCGTCCTGTGCTGTACTTTCTCGACTTGCCACTTTATATTACCTGATGGATTTTACTTTATGAAATAAAAATACGCGCTACTGGATTTTGAAAAAAGAGCAATATACAAGCGAAACTGTGGAAAAAACAAACTCGACTGCTAGGAGTGTAGTTTTATTGGCCAACGTTTTCTTTTTATATCTACGGTTCTTGGCCCCCCGTGATCGGATATGGAATGTTTAATAAGCTAAAATGAATTTATTTTGCGAGTAATTTAATAAACAGTGCAGAACCATGGAGGTTATGTGTGATGCAGAGGGAGAGAGTGTTAAATACAAGCCCGGTGGTCGACTGGATATGAGCCACGGGTTCCTGAAGCACATCAGGAGGAATCAGATCGCCAGGTCTCTCTCTCTTTCACACACTACAGTTAGTTGTGTTAGCGAGTTATTGTCTTTTCTTAGTAGCCTGGTTTATCTGAAAACTACAAACATGTAGTTCGTAAGCTTACAATGACAAGAAATATCGAAATGATTTCTGTTCTTTCATAATTTGAATCAAATCCTAATGGGATTCAATAGTACTCTTCTTGAAATAAAATTGAGAAAAACCTGACATTACTATGTACAGTAATATATAAATTATAGCCCCACTGTATTTCATAACATAATAAATACATTGGAGATTATATTATATATATTCTTTATCATATCTCCACGTGTATTAGATTGAGATATTGTCTTGCTACTGGAAATGAAAGGAGTTGTATGAGCTTTAAAAATCCTGAAATTAATCTATTAAATTCATTTTGCAGTCCTACAGTATGACAATAGAAAAATAGGTAATTGCATCTTTTATCTTACAATCCCAAGTTTTTACGTCACTATTATGAGGAATAAAGTACAAACTCAGAAGTCAGAATTGCAAGGAATTGGAGTGCAAAAAAAAAAAAGTCAGAATTTTGAGGTAAAAAGTTAATATCACTCAATTCTAAAATTGCAAGTTAAATGCTCAGAATTGTGAGAAATAATTTCAGAATTATTAGTATATAAACTCGCAATTGCCAATACAGGGCATTTTACTAATAATAGTCATTTTGATAAGTAGGTGACATAGAATTCTGTAAGAAATTTTCCATTTAAATGAGCTTTAAGGCTGCTCATCTTCTAGGCATACTGCCGTTTACATACCATCATCAAAATTTAAATATGTGATATATTTGTTTTCTTTCTACAGGGATGATTATGACAGAGAGGTAAAACAGGCCCAGGAGAAACAGAGGCGTAGACACACCACCACCCCTCGCCGTCCACGAAGACCCGACCGCCAGGTCTACCATCCACGCCATCAGAGTAAGTCACATTATTTAACAATGTAAAGTGTGGTTTTGTTGTTCCAGTGTGGATCAACACAGTGCCAAAATTGCTTCTCATGCAAAAGGAAAATTGACAATTTTGGAAAATCAAAACAGCAGAAGTGCTTTATTTATTAATTATTAATAAATTGAAAAGTTAGCTCATCCAAAAATAAAAATATTTGTCATTAATTACTCGCTTTCATTCATCTTCAGAGCACAAATTAAGGTGCTTTTGATGAAATCTGAGAGCAGTCTGTCACATTTAAGACCCAGAAAGGTAGTTAAAACATCATTAAAGTTATCCATTGACTCATGTTGGTCTAACCTCAGTTTTATGAAGCGACACTCGAGCACTTTGAATGTGCAAAAATACATCATTTAGAGCAGACGTTGCATGAACGTGCATTGGAGTTTAATATTTTGTAAATGAAGGGGTAAATTATATTTTTTTGCGCAAACAGAGACTCGTATCACCTTATTAAATTGAGGTTAAACTGCTGGAGTCACATGTTTTTATTACCTTTCTGGGCCTTGAAAGTGGTAGTTGTGTAGCTGTGAACGGAGGGACCGAAATCTCTCAGTTTTCATCAAAAAGATCTTCATTTGTGTTCTGATGATTAAAGCAAATCTTACGGGTTTGGAAAGACATGAGGGTGAACTAAGCCTTTAACTAATGCACCAAGAGTAATCTCAATAATAACCAGCTAAATAAGCATTTATAATTGTGAATATAACATTGCGGTGACTGTTTTACAAAATCTAATTCTCAATTGAGGGGGGCACTATAGGTGTGTGAACATGTTTTCATTTGTTTTATTCATATATGAGTGTTGCAAAATGGCTTTTAAATCATTAAAATTCACCAAATACTGTTTTGTTCTGTGGGCTTCTGTTTATTCAGATGGATCTGAAGCTGGTGTGAATGCAGAGGCAGAGGACTGGAATGAGAGCAGCTCGGGCACAGAGCAGGAGAACGCTGGCACAGAGTTATTCTGGCTCGATTATCAAGCTGACAACGGGCAAATAACATCGCTCATCGTCCACAAGGTTTGCATTGAGATTCTAATGCATCACAGGCTACAAAGAAGCTTAACCATAAACGATCTGTGTTTGTTTTATAAAATACAGTGGGCGGATTATTCTCTGTATACTGTATTATTGCAAAGCTATATATAAGTTGGATATACAGTATATTATATCTAACTTAATTTGCATACATACAGTGTACTCGCATACATATACTATATAGCAAATCACAACTGCCTGATTTATTATGTCATCACAAAATGTTACTATATTATTGTCCAGCTCTTTATATAAAGTTGGATATACATGTATGCCCATCTTTATCCGCAGGACCGCATACATACAGTTTACTAGCAGAGCGATAAACACCCATTATCTGTTGTTTATGGATCTCAACTTATAATTATCTCCTATTATTTTAGTTGTTTTTTCTATGAACAGTTCCAAGTATAAGTTGTATGTATTTGCTACGATGTAAGCAAAATTACACACACAAAAATGACAACAACAGTAAAAAACGTACCACTCTGAAACGTCCTGTGCTTGTAAACTCTGTGAAATCAGTTCTTAAATCAGGCTTGAATTGGTTTGAAATTGATGCCATCTTTTTTATATATCTACATCTGAACAGATGGTTATGGTAAAGGCGGTGACATTTCCCAAACATGCGCTGCTAATCACAACACTGGGCCAGCTAACCAATCACAGCACATTTCATAATTAATAATAATGTTTAATTTATTTAGCGCCTTTCCCAAACTCAAGGAAGCGTCACAATAACAGTAAAGAACAAACCAAGTCCAAGAAATGAGCGATTGCAAACAAAATCAATAACCGAAACAAAAAAATAACACTGGTACGTATTAGGAAACATTATGACTGTAATACAGAGTTATCGAAACATGAACTAAAAACGATGCATTCGGGCCAGACTGGGGAGAGAGGTGCTGTAATAAAGTGAAATATGTGAAAAATAATGTGTTTTGAACAATTAAACATGAAACCATATTCCAGTAGACCCTAAAAACAAAATCAAGACTTTGGAAAAAGGGCATAATATGATCCCTTTAAAGATTTTATAAACATTAACATAATGATTTTCTGAAATAGTGAATATTGTGAAAAGCGTTATATATATTTGACTGGTCTTAAAGTGTTTTGTTAGTTGTTAATGTATGTGTTAAAGCAAAAAAACAAGATTTAATATTTGTTTCCAAACAGGAGGACAAGCCGGAAGTTATTGTGGAAAGAGTGGCGGACAAGAACGTTCTGGACTCGGCCATGAGGGCGGCGCTATTGGCTCGTGTGGGACTGGAAATGGGCAAGCGGTGTGAAAAATGCTGAGAGGAAGAGAAAAGCATATTTAAATATGAGCCCGAATGTGAACTGCATTTCTGTATGACGGCACCAAGCATGCAGCATTCATAAATATCATGGAGATGCCATGTATCCTAATATGTGAATATGAGTGGACTCTAACCTTAAAAGAGAAAAGACACTGTTAAGCATGAACTCTTGTTTGGTCTAAAATAATATGTGTTTCAGTAATACACAGAAAATAGGAGCTGAATTGTTCTTTCAACTGGAAATGGGAATCCTAGCGTACCTTCACACTGGGAGCAGACGTTGGACAAATGTTAAAGGAGTAGTTCACTTTTAAAAAAACTGTTTATTTACTCTCCCCCATGTCATCCAAGATGTCCATGTCTTTCTTTCTTCAGTCGAAAAGAAATTAAGGTTTTTGATGAAAACATTCCAGGATTTTTCTCCATATAATGGACTTCAATGGGGACCAAACGGTTCAATGTCCAAAAAGACAGTTTCAGTGCAAACTGTTCAAAGGGTTTTAAACGATTCCAGACGATGAATAAGGCTCTTATCAAGCAAAACGATCGCTCATTTAATAAATAAATAACAAAGTTTACGTTTTATAAGCACAAATGGTCTTGCTCTGTTCTGTGATGCGCGTTCGTGACTCTCCTGTTCGAACTGGTTCATCAAAATGAACAAATCTTTTTTTTGTGTCATTTGGTTTATTCAACAAACGAAATGAACGATTTGACTAGGAAAAAGATTTGAACGAGTTCGAACTGGAGAGTCTTGAACGCGCATCACAGAACACAGCAAGGTGACCATTTGAGCTTATAAAACGTAAACTTTATTTATTTATTAAATGAGCGATCATTTCGCTTGACAAGACCCTTATTTATCGTCTGGAATCGTTTAAAGCCCTTTGAAGCTGCACTGAAACTCTCATTTGGACCTTGAACCGTTTGGTTCCCATTGAAGTCCATTATATGGAGAAAAATCCTGGAATGTTTTCATCAAAAACCTTAATTTCTTTTCGACTGAAGAAAGAAAGACGTGGACATCTTGGATGACATGGGGGCGAGTAAATTATCAGCAAAAGTTTTTTTTAAAGTGAACTACTCCTTTGAGTGCAGCTCTTTTTACACCTGAGGTGACTTTCTTGCACTCGTTTTGTGATCAGTTTTATAACCACAAGGTCTACATTGTCACACTATGTCCAATTAGTCTGTATTTTATCTTATAGGCTTTCAGATAATAATGTTTAAGACATGATTTAGCCCAACTTTAAACACGCTCAGTCTGTTTGAAGGTAAGGAGTCACCTACTGCTGTGATGTAGTTCATGTAGATGGTACTGGAAATAGCTGACAAAATTTAAACTAAGTTTAAAGAATGATAAT